TATGTTTTGTTCTTTTTTCTCTTGAAAGCAAAGGATAAGCGGAGGTATGAACCACTGCCAAGCTGAGGTCCCAGCCAACCTGAATTTGGGGGTTATGAATGCGGATCGTGCTTTCTTTCAATGTACCGGCCTGTCTGCAGCTATGGTCTTCACCCGAATAAAACGCCTGGTCGTTGTTGGTTCAGACGTATGTGACAATGCATTTGGGGAGGCTTTCAGTCTCCATACAGTGATAATGCCCATGCGTTCTTCTTGGATGAAGACGGTGCAATGAACTTAGTCTTGAGGAGAAGCCAATCAGCATTGTCACATATGTCTGAACCCAGCGATCAACGTGAAGTCTCCAAATAGTAGTGCGCCCTCAGCATTATCACATACGGTGCAATGAACCTAGTCTTGAGAAGAAGCCAATCAGCATTATCATGAATTACTCATATCATCAGCAGCGAACTCTCATAGAACGTCATTGAAGAACAGATAGAGGAGAGGTAAGATAGAGGAGGAGGAGGAGAAGAGATACATTAAAAGAAATTAATAATACATGCATGTCGCTCTCCTGAAGATACATTAAAAGAAATTAATAATACATGCATGTCGCTCTCCTGATCCCTCTTCCCCCTCGGGCTTCTCCCAGCAGTGCATGCTCCCCTTCTGACGTCCACTGACATAGACACCGTACAGCTTTCAGCAGAGCGCCCCTCCTCCTGCGACAGTCATCATAGAGTCGTGGAGGATGGCGCTGTCCTTCCCTCCCTCCATGGAGACGAGCAGCAGATCAGTCCCTTAGCGACAGGTAAGTCCAGGTAAGCTTTCCCATCAACCTTCTATGGGTCTCACAGCCCCGATCCTCCTTGACCAACCACATCACCTCCTTGTATAGCTATGGCAGCTATGGCCGCTCCAACATGACCTTCCTCTAGGCTGGCGCCCACCAGCAGCATCTGGCGCCAGTCGATGTCACCAGCAGCCTCGTATAGCTGCACTTGGCCACAAGCCAGTGGAAGGCCGAAGGACCTCCCCACTGCTCTGACCGTCCTTGACCAGTCCCTCCCTTGACCGTGTAGATGGTCCGGATTTTCCAGATCTTGATGGCCTTGATGAAGCCTTGAAGCAGTGGTACTGTATCCCAGTTGGAACAGGAATCTTCTGGATACCTGCAGACGACCCTCGATAGGCACCTGAACTACGGCTGTGGTGGACTACTGGTTGGACTTTGACTCCGGGCCTGCATTTCCTGTGCTCGGTCTGACTCTTGGAGGTAGTGGACGCAGTGTTTGACTTACGGCTGCGTACCCCTTGACCCTGGGGCCTGTTTCAGACAGACATATCAAGGACTCAGAACGTGACGTTTGACCAAAAGCTACTTTAGACCCTACCTTGACCGCTCTCTCAGGACTTTGAACTGAGTTTATTGCAACCGTAGTTGTTGGGTTGTTTGTAATGGATCTGAGAACCGGGCTCGAGGTCTAATATTGGATCCGATAAAATGGAAGTGCCTTACTGAGAACCGGGCCTGGAGGTGCCTTACTGGGTGCCAAGCTGCTGTTCCGAACCGACACCGGCACAGTTTCTTTCTTTTTTTGGATGGTGCCACAGGCCATTCTGGTCCGGTAGGCCGAGCCTCCAAAAATTCCGTAGGTTGTGCTTTCTTGTTGCGTTGTTAGGGGTTTGGACAGTCCTAAACGCTGTGAGGAATTCTAATTAGGCTATGTTAAAAAGGAAACCTCGCAAGACCGGAAATTGTAAAAGTCTGCGCTTGTATATCCCCATGTGGCTGAAGGGTATGCACAAGTAGCTGTTGGTAAACAGCAGAAGAGTTCGAATCCTCCTTAGAATCAGATGGTATCCCGTATGGTAAACAAAGCTATAGAGGCCAGCCCCGTTAGGGAAAAAAAAAAGAATCCCGACTTCCTTAATCGTATCCCACTCCTGTTAATAGAAAAAAAAAAAAACAATCCTGACTCTATGGTACTAGTATCCTAGAGGTCTCTTTTTTACATGTAGTGTACTAACACTAGACTTGTCTTCTAGTCATAAATTCGTATAACAGATTCTTATAATTAATGTGTAATGGCTGGGGGTTCCGATGCGAGGGCTTACTGACACTAGATGATTTTGTCTACTAAGCTCTGGACGTGATTACAGTCGGATTCATCCAGTTCGGGCTGTAATCGCAGCCTGATACGCTTACGAACGTGCTCGTGTTAGTATGCCCCAAGGGGCAGACTCCATCTGCGAGGAGGAAGCGTTTGACTGTTGATCCGAAAAATCGACGGTCAGAGATTGCTCGATCTCGGCTGGTGGAATCAGGCCCTAAGTGTTTTTTTTTCTTTTTCTTTTTTAAAGCTATGTTCTTCTCTCAATTTCACCTCACACTACCTACCTACCACTACTCCTAATTGTAGGCATACGGGGAACCCCGTAGCAGCCAGAACCGTGTTCATGAGAGAACGTGCGGGGGCTGCTCCTGACCTGCAGGTGGGCGATACCGGCTAGGGGACAGCAGGGAGCATCAGGGACCATACCAACAGGACCAATCCCTGTGCCTCCCCTCAGGTCCCCTCCCGTACGAACATCAGCAGACTCTGCTCAATGTCGGTCGGGGGATCCAGTGGTCTATCTCTAGGTGGCGGGCGCCAAGCATGCCCAGGAAGGTACATAAGGCCAATGGGGATTGAACCCACGACCTCCTGAATGCCACTTGCGTGCCTTACCAACTGAGTTAGGCCGCTGGATAGCCCTAAGTGTTTTATCTTCCACCTAACCGATTCTTAAATATAATGTGTATAATAGTGTCTTATCTTCTAGTTGCTGTTCTTTTTTTTCCTTTGCATTTGTGACAGCTGTTTCAGTAGTAATGATGCAGGGGCTTGCCAGCACTTGCTTCGTTCGTGCCTCTACTAATCCTCCTGCGTCACATATAACAGCTTTCTGTTTTCTGAAAGGATGCAGGAGGATCTTGATACACTGTACAATTTTTGCACCTGAAAAGTATCACACACCTGTTAATATGTTCCGACAGTAATCACATTCTTTGAGCCTTGTGTATTCAAAAAGAAAACGCCCTCACCCACACATCGGTTATTGGTACTCAAGCTCTCACATTCTTGCGAGTGCCTGTACTATGTAGAATTATGTTATGTTTCCAGAAAAAAAGGAAGATTCTGTTTTTCAAATCCAGAAATGTTTAATGTTGGATTTTTGAGTGAGTTTAGTCACGACTTGTCAAGTGGGTGAAATGGTTCGGAACATTCGGAGTGCTGTCATTGTCGGATTCTGATCTGGGCCTCTTAATTTAGGGAAGTAACGCGGAAGTCTCATAGAATGTGGTGAGAAATGTGCTGTCCCTGTGTTTTTTCCCTTTCCGTAAACCTTCTTTTAATTTCCTAATTCAGCTTCGAACTTAATTTAGGGAAAAAAAAGACTTTGCAAAGTGTTTTTGTGATGCCACGTGCGGATGTCTTCTCTTGTTTTTTCTTTTTTTTCTTGTGTGTGTGAAAAGACAAGGCTAGTGTTTGTTTTGATGTGGTCGAATGGTGGCTCACCTCAATATAGAACACATGGGTATTATGAAGGTGGGTTTGATCTCACAAATCTCCAGCATATTCTTGAGAGGTACAGCGGTACAGCACTGGTAAAAAGGTGGCATGAGTTCTTTCGCAGATTCAAGTCTTTTGATGCGTATAATGCTTGTGGCTCTCTTCCGATGGTTCTTTATATAGAATGCCTTGTCAAAGAAATTCCGTACCAGAATCGTGAAGATCGGGAGCGTAAACCACTCTGGCGTACTTCGAAGGCAACTTTCTCTGGGGCTGGGAACGTGCCCAAAAAAACCGAACCGGGTCGGGCCTGCTTTGGCTGGCGCCATCAGCCTTCGTAATCTGCGGGCTGAGCCCTGAAAGTCGCCACAGCATGCGAGCTGCAACTTTGAAAAAAAGGGCTGGTAAACATGCCAGCGTTTTAAGCACTGAGTTCTAATGCGCCCTTATGTCCAGTTAGGGCTTCTGTATTGTCAGAAGCTCGAGAAGTTGGAGCAATATGTTTTGGGGTTGCCGTTACACTTTTTCTCTGGAACATAGTCTTGAGGATGACTTATTATGTTTAGGGCTCTCTTTTCTTGATTCTTGCTTTTGGATTGCTTGGTGTGTCAACTGAATATACCTTGGCCGCGATTGATGATGAAGGATTGGAATCACACATGCTTGATTGTTGTAGATCGCCGAAGCTTGATTGTATTTAAGCACTACGTTATTGAAAGCTAAGTTGGGATCTTAGCGGCGTATGCAGCAAGAGCATACCGGTTCGGGCCTGGGCCGTCAGTGTCCGGTCCAGGACACTACGAAACGGTCCCGTTCGACGCTTGCAACCCTCGGAAGGTAGCTGCATACAAATGAGCTCGACTGAACTGGTAGTTTAAGAAATTGGAGCGAGGAAGGCTGTGCAACTCAAGGGCACAGGGAAACCTCTACTGTGGTTGTATGACCATAACCATGGGAAGTTTTGAAACTTCCATGCGCATGGCGCCGGGGGAATATGGGTCCGGATTTGCGAATTCAGCCATTGCTTTGGGATCACAGTGAGGACTTGACTTTCCTGTGCAGTTGCTGGACCATTGACTGCGGCAAGGAAAGTTGTGCTGCACAAGTTATTGACACTGCCAACTGTGGAAAGGAATGTTGGGGTGTTACAACTTGGCAGAGGGTTGTGTGTTCTTAATAAACAGTTGATATCGCCCACTTGTGTCTTGTGTGCCAGTTTTCTCTGTTCAGCAAGCTGTGGGCACGTGGATGATGCAATAATGCAAAGTGAAGTCCTTTGCAGCATCGTGTAGCCCCAGCCGTTTGCAACAAGCTCTGTAAGCTGTCTGTATTTTGTCTGACCCCTTGTAAGAGTGCTCATTTTGAGTAACTGTGAGTGACTGTGTAGTAAGCCCCACCTCTTGAAAGAGTGCTCATTTTGTCTTGCCGTGTCTTGGGTTGGGAATCTGTGATTCCTTCCAGTGTACCAGGGTGTGGCTGCAATTCAACGGCATCAACTACTCAGCGGATGTTTATTTAAATGGCGCAAAGCTGGTGCATCCAAATCCGCGAGGGATGTTCCTGCGGCGCGCTTTTGACGTTACTCATGTGGCCAACTTTGGAGGGGAGAATCGTCTTGCAGTATTGGTTCATCCCCCTGAACACCCAGGCAATGTGGATGGAGGGGGCCAAGGTGGTGATCACGATGTAAGATACATATACATAGAATGAATTTAGGACAGATATTCGAATGTTTATTAGGCTTATCAAACAGAGTATATATATACATACGTAGATTTGCATGTGTTTCCTTTTTTTTTCCCGTGTTTCCTTTTCCGTTTTTTCCCCCTCTTCAACCTGTTTCTTCTGTGCCTTTTTGTTCACAGTTTTCATGGTCCTTGTTCTGTCATGATTGCATTCTCTCTAGTCTTTGGAAAAACCTATCCCATTGCCATTTGCTGTGAATGGAGGTCCATAGTGCAAGGAAGTTGACTCTAGCAATAAGTATTGGGAACTTTTGCTTCTTTTTTTTTTTTTTTTTTTTTTCCGCACGTGACAGCACACGATGTGCCCAGAGTCTTCTCAGTAGATGAAAAATGGAAGGGGGAACAGTTTTTTGGCGCTTGAATCCCTGATTGCCCTGATGCTCTGATGCCCTGCCTGCTGTTTTCCAGATTTCTAACAATGTTTCTTTTCTGAACATCTTTTTTTTTTTTTTTTGGAACATGTGTTGAAACTTGAAAGGTTTTAAGGTCCCAATGTTTATTGCCTACCTGTTGTTTTCTGAATGTCTGCTGTGAGGTTAAATGTCCTCTTCTTCCTACCTGCTGTCTGCGTTGCGTGATCAACCGTTGATCCCATGCAGATAATAGAGCTCAGATTTGGTGTGGGTGATTGTACTTGGTTCTTGTTGAATGTATGCAGCTTTGAAAGCTTAGAAACTTAGAAAGGCTTTTGTGTTTGACATTGTCTGCATCTTCTTCTCATTTTGTTGGGTATGCATACGGCCGTGTGGCCGTGTCCCGGTTCGCTTCCCTTGACATGCAAAATGCTCTTCTCTCCGTCGATTGTTTGATTGGATGCTTGGCAATAACAGATTGCCAAGGATGTCACGGCACAGTATGTTGAGGGCTGGGACTGGATCAAGCCAATCAGGTGAGGCTTTTGGTTTTTGCTTTTCTTCTCTTTTCTTTTGGAAGTTGTATGTCAGTCTGCTAATCTGGTTGGCTAATAGGCTACCAGAGTGTCCCGGGACTGCTGGCCCAGCCGGGCCAAAATAAATAATAAATAATAAATAAATAAATAAATAAATAAATAAATAAATAAATAAATAAAAACGTTTTCAACTTTTATTTTTATGTTAAATTTGGTAAAGAATTTCGATTACCTTGAGGCAAAAGTTGTTCAGTTTTTCCTGCATAACGTAGTTTTCTTTCTCAATTTTTTGTTCTTGTTGTGCTGGGATCTTCTTCGGCCATTGCGTGGCCGGGCCTCCCGGGCAAACGAGGTGAGGCGGCCCAGCTGGTAGCCTAGGTTGGCTATGAAATTGTAACAATATGAGGATTCGGAGAACTTCAAAAGAGTATTACGTTGAACGCACATTGGGTAGCCTGTCTCTTCGTTCTTCTCTTTGTCTTTTTGTAGCACAAAAATGGAGGAAGTGCGAACAAGGTGGTGGACGTGATGTGGATGAAGAGAGAGGGAGGCGAGGAAGTGGAAGGGGATACCAGAGGGTTTAAGTGAGAGACAGAGGAGATTGGCAAAGAGAGCAACAGAAAATGTAAACGAGTGTGGGAGGCAAGGAAGTGGAAGGGGATACCAAAGGGAAAGGTCTACGGTTTAAGTGAGAGATAGAAGAGATGGGCAAAGAGAGCAACAGAAAAGGTTATGCAGAGTGTGGTTTGGAGGAAGAGAGAGGGAGATAGCAAGGGCGAAGGTCATTCGTGTGGTATTGAAGGAGAGGGAGGAGAGATTAGCACATAACGGCAGAAATGAGGGAGTGACGAGGAGGAAGGGGCGGAAGATTGCCACAGGGTGAGGAAGTGATATGATGAAGAGAGGGAAGGAATGAAGAGGGAAGGAAGGAATTGGAAGGGAGATACTTAAACCACCAGTACTTCTGAAAGTTGCGACTTGCATGCTGCCAACCGCCAACCATTGCTATAGGGCCAGGGTGTTTCCACTTGAAGGAATGTATGCCAGCGCCCCAGGCCCGTTCATCCCAGCATGTCGCACCACTCATTCTGCTGCGAGTTTCGGATTTACTGATGGTTTCAACCACCAGTATATGCCCCCAGCCAAGTTGAGAATCGTGATTGAGTGCCTCCGAAGGGCGGGTGGAAAAAGGAAGTTATCCTGTGCCCAAAGGGATGAGACCAGGTGTAGCACTGAACAATAGAAAAGTTCCGCCTGCCCCCATGCGGGGGCCCTGTCCCCGGCCCTCAAACTTTTCGGCGAGGGCCATTCGTGACTTTCCAGATGTGCTGGTGGCTAAAGAGGGTGAAAGAGTGCGATACACAGAAGACGTAATGTTGTAGAGAAAGAGAGCGTGCCAGCAAATCTGCAGAGCATGTTGCTTGACTTGTGCAGTATTTACTCCTTTTGCTCTCTGTTTACTGACTTTAATAATTTCCTGTTCAAAAAGGAAGAGTGGAAAATGTCCTGCTTTTGTTCCAATGTGTTATGTTGCTTTGTTTTGCTTGCATCTCCTCACGTATGTTGGGAGTAGTTGGTCGTGTATCATAGGGCATCTCTCCACTACACAACACTCTCCATGCATTTCAACGCTTTTCTGCAACAGGTGCATTCGTATGACTTCAACATTTTGAACGGACCGAGCCGAAAAAGCGTCCAAATGCATGTTGAGTGGAACGAGGCCCATAGTTGCGTTTGCTGTGTTATTTTTCTTTGTTATTGTAACAGCAAAAGAAGACACAGCTGTGCGCTAGTGTTGCTACAAGTGAACACGCGTGTGTTGTAGTTGGAGAGGTCGGGGTAATATGGCTAGGTGAAGAGGATAGAACTGTGTTTGAATAAAGCTCAAATGAACATGCAGGAGGCATCATAAGTGCCCCTCTGAAGTTGAGGGTATACAGTGTTACACTGCCTGCTGAGGAAAGGTACCACTTTCCGGCGATGGTTGGAATGGATATTCTCTCTCAAGTTTTGCTGCCCTGTTGTCAGTGCTGCCTACTCAACTGGCTAACTTGTCGACGAATGGGCTCACTTATCCCTACCATATGCCCATGGCGTGAAGCATGAAAGCAAGTGCAACTGGTTTTTCTTCTTCATCGTCATCGTTGTCGTTGTCGTCATGGTCCTCTTTGTTGTCTTCGGTACAGAAGTCCGGTGAAAGCAAATGCAACTGGTGTTTCTTCTTCATCGTCATCGTTGTTGTCGTTGTTGTTGTTGTCGTCGTGGTCCTTGTTGTTGTCTTCGGCACAGAAGTCCGATGAGGTCGTGAAATTTCAGTGTTTCAGTTTTAAGCACATTTGCCCAAGTACTGCTGCATTTGGTGGCGTTCTAAGTGCATGATGGGAAGGAGAAATGCAATCTGTGCATCACAGGAAAGAGAGAAAACCCACCTCGTGAATAGCGTCCGCCCTTTTTTCTCCTCCCTGAACTAACCAATTCAACTTGACTGTCCTTTGCTGAGGATCATTGGTGGTGACTGTGTGTCGAGAACAAGGAAACCACACTTCACAGAACCATCGGTATTGCTCTCAATCTCTCCAAGCAGCAAACAACAGGCCTCTCCTCCTCAGCACTCCTCTCCTCCTCCTGATGTTCTGGAGGAGTGACAGAGAGAGGCTTCCCTGATGATAGTCCTCCCTAACATCTATAGGGAAGCCTGTACGGTTTTGGTCGTTATGGTAGTCTCAGGATCATTGGGCCTAATTCAAAAAATGTCGAGTGTCGGCCCAAGTCCTGAAATGTTTGTCCGGAGAAAGCATCAACCTGGCCATATTTTGACGGCAAGGATCAGGCTTTCCGAGTAAGAACATAGCGCCAGTTTGTTCCTCCGCCGGCAATTTCAACAACAGGAACGGGACGTTACACCATGCTCCAGTGACAGTTTTATTTCCAAGTCAGGCTGGACTGCTGACCTCCGTGGAAAAAGGCCATGCATCCGAGAAAGATGAACGGACAGACTTGTGTGTGTTTAAACTGGCTGATTTACAAACCAGCTTGAGTGTTTGCGATTCCAGCCTGCCTTTCAAATGTTTATGGTTTTCGTCTGGCATTTTCTGAGTGTGTGCGATTGCAGCCTGCCTGCGCTTCAGATGTTTATGCTTTTCGATGTCTGGGAGGCCACGTATCTATCCTCTTCTGTACACTGGTTTGGCTTATGATATGTGAGAGGCCTTTGTTCCTGGCATCAACTTGGCATCCAAGTGACTGATGTCAGCTGTCTGACACGGTCATTCAACAACCATCTTGTTCTTCTCGTCTCGTTGATTACTATGTGGGACAGGATTGAGAATGAACATCAGAAAAGGGACTGGATAGCTCCAATTTCTCATGGGTATGCTGCTCCATTGCTCTTGGCTTTCCTCACAGAGATCGCAACACGGGCATCTGGGATGAGGTGGCAGTCGTCCTTACAGGGGTGGGTAGCATCTATCTTTTTTTTGGTCAGTAATACTCGGTATTCGCACTGACTTGTTGCAGTTGTAATCAAATGCTGCCAGGGAAACTGTGATATTAAATGAGCGCTCCCTTTTTTGCTTCTGGCCTCAAGGCCTGGGCCTGTTTCTGCTGGTGGGAAAAAGAAGTATGTGGCTGTGGGTTTAGTGGTGTAATCTAGCAACTGAGAAAAATAAGGGCCCTGTAGTAACTAAATGGGCCACAATGAATGCTCTTGTGGTCGAAGAGGGGGTGGCCAGGAAAAAAAAAAGGAGGGGGTGGTTGCTGAGTGTAAATAGCAAATAATACATGAAGCATATAGCCTCCAATTATTATTTTTTCTTGATGTAGTCAAGGGGAGTGTCTGGCAAACGAAAGCTTGCGACTTTGTCATCAAACTGGATGGGATTCTCTGTGGCAGTTGGGGAGAGAGGAGGGATCTGAGGGGAGGACAGCACGGGGGGAAGTGGATTTGACAAATAAAGGGTGTATGCTCTGTAGGTAGGTTAAAACCTCACATAATATGTGTAGTGAATTGAGGGTTTGGAAATATGTTTGTTTGGTCAGTGATTGATAGGACTGAATGGTGACATTGTTGGTGACTGAGCACTTGTTTTGCGGGTTCTAGGTGCGTTTTATTTCTCCGATCTCGTTGAATAGTAGTCTGCGTTATGCTCAGATGCAGGCAATACTCAATGAGGTGTTTGAGTGACAATTAATACGTCCGAAATTGGCTTTGTTTTATAGCAGAGGCCCTTGTAGAACATGGAAACTGCGCTCATGTGATTGATGAATGTTCAATACTCAATGTCCGGGGTTTCATATCAGTGTGCAGCATGCTGTCCTGAAATCAGCCATCTAGTTCACTTCAGCTTGCTCTTGTGAGTGATGAAGACCAGCAAAAGATAATTGTTCAATATTCAATGTCCTGCCGTGCAAGCATCGAGTGGCTCTACCCAAGGCACTTGGGCTTCTGAGTGTCAGATGGAGTGAGTTGGTACGCTATGGACTGGGGCTTGTGAGTGTCCGCGTGCGTGCAGTTAAAGTCTCTGGGCTTCTGTGTTTGTCCACAGACTTCCTTTGGCGTGTGTTGTGGGGATGCGGGGCGGGTAAAGTCTCTGTGTTTTCTTTTTGCATTTTTCGGTAGACTTGCTTGTGCTTGTGTTGTGGGATCTCTCTCAAGGTTCTGCTTTTGTGCTTTTGTATTGCAGGCTGTGACGTTGCAGAATCCTCATGTTGTGACAGTGTTTGAAGGGAGCAGTCTCGCAAAAGCCAAGCTCCACGTCTCAGTTGAAGTCACAAATGCATCATCAGCGGCCTGTCACGGAAGGCTAACTGCGCAAGTTATTTTTAATAGTGACGATGATGGGTTCTATGTTGTTGAGGACGTCCTCTCAGAGGAGGTGGATCTTGAAGCTGGGGAGAACCATCTTCATGCATTTTCTCCTGTGAGTTTCGCTTCAAGCACACTCTGGTGTATGCCCTCAGTTTTTCTCCTCGTTCGTTTTTCTATCCGTCTTCCCATTTTGCCTTCAAATTGTGCACGTGTATGTGTAGGGGTGAAAGGACATGCACAGACATGCACACTGTAATGCACGTCCAGCTGTGCTTTTTTGGAGTCCTGTGCTTCAGTATCTGAAACAAAGCGACAACCGCAGGAATCAGACTCCAGTCCTTTTTTTGTTTTCTGGTGAAACAAAGCGACAACTGCAGGAATCGGACTCCAGTCCTTTTTTTGTTTTCTGGTGATAAGGCTGGAGTCCTGGGCTTCAGTATCTGAAAGAGTCTAGCTCTGCTTTTTTTGTCTGGTAGACTGTAGAGGGACAGGATGTGTGACTAAACACATCTCAGTGAGCATTTGTCAAAACACATTGTTTTGTATGCACTAGTGTTATGTTGTGGACATCGCTGTTCTCTGTTCCTGACTCTGTCGTCGCATGGCTTGATCTCCTTTTTGTGCAGATGCTTCATGAGAATCCACAGCTTTGGTGGCCAAATGGTTTGGGCAAGCAGCCGTTGTATACGTTGCAGATCTCTTTTGAGGCAGGGGTCTCGAATGGTGCCCCTTGTTACATGGAGTCTGATTCCTGCAGTTGTCGCTTTGGTTTTCGAAAGATTGAAACATGCGTTGATGAAACACTCGGTGGTGGACGGCGGTTCTTTGTGAATGGTCATCCTTTATTCATCCGAGGCGGGAACTGGATCGTTTCACATGGGATGCTCTGGCTTTCAAGGGAAAGGTATCAAACTGAAGTGGGTTTTCATGCGGATGCTAATTTGAACATGATTCGGGTTTGGGGTGGAGCACTTGCTGAGCGTCCAGAGTTCTATGATGCTTGCGATGAGCGTGGTATACTTGTGTGGCAGGTACGGAGTGCTTCTTTCTTTTCCCCCCTGCCTAGACCTCAAATTTGATGATGTTTTGTGAGATGTCGGATCGCTGTATGCTGAAATCAGGCGTTGGACATCTGAACCACATCGATTGTCCCTACGGGTTAGCAGCCGCGAATTTGGTCGGTCCAGCGGGCCTAACTGAACCACAGCCTGGTCGTGCACCGAGACAATCCACACCAGGGCTGTGATGGTGTGGTGGCTAAAACCGCAACCACCTGCCTGAGAATTGCAGTAATCCAAGTGTGTCACTGGGAAGGAAAAACAAACAATTAAGTCTATACCTACCTAACTGTGCTCTGTGCGTGGAGCAGCACCCAAGCTTTAAAGGTTCGTCTGTCTACTGGAATATATGTGATCATGAGTGGTGACGGCTCTGCAAAGTAGGTGGTGTCGGGTAGAGCCCCATAACCCTCAGGATTGTCTCCTCAGTCTAGGGTAGGTTAGCTAGTGCGAGTTAAAAAAAAAAAGATAAGAGAAGAAGATAGAAGAGTCGAATGCTGTCCTTCTGGACATCCGTTAAAATTGGAACGATACAGAGAAGATTACCATGGCCCCTGCGCAAGGATGACATGCATAAATCCAGAAATGGCCCAAATTAAAAAAAAAGAAAAACGAATAGTCGAATGCAGCTGTCCCCCGGGCGAGAAGAGAGTCTGTTTTCTTTCTTTCTTTCTTTTTTTTTTTCTTTTTTTCTTTTTTCTTTTACGAAAGGCTTGAGGGATATCAGATTGTCAATTGCATGGGCAGCTGGAAAACGGTTGCTCCCTTGGTAACAAGAGTATTGAGTATTCAAACTCCTCAATATTTATTCATCCGGTGTACGCAGGTCAATTGCCCACCTTCAAATGAGCGAACGGTTAGTCCTCAGCGTAACGTGAATAGTCCTCACCAATCATGGATCAATCAAGAGAACATGAACCAGCCTTCCATAGAAAGTCCACACAATCACATTTAGAGGAAGAGGATATGGAATGGAGAAGATTGGTGGAGACTAGGATGATAAAGGTCCTCCCGAATGCGATTTCAGTGAAAGATGTAACGATACAATCCAAGCGGTGGGGACCCATAAACGGAAGTGGTGGCATCAAGATATTCTCTACTTCTCTTTTCCCCCGCCACATTTCAATTGTAGATCTCAAGGGCTTTTGTTTTGCTATCTGGTTCTTTGATGATATGCTGTCAAATCATCAAATGTTTTACAAGGATGAATGACAAGGTTGCTTTCATTAGCATGAGGCGTACATACTGTCATCCTACAGATGACGGTATTGGTTTCCGTGTGTAGATTGTCATATGGCACTTTGGGTTCGCCTCTTTGATTGGCTGTTGTTTTCCCATGCTTCTTTTCTGATAAATGTTTTACAAAGATGAATGACAAGGTTGTTTTCCTTCGCACATGGTGGGCTGACTGTTTTCCTTCGGATGACGGTGCTACTTTATGTGCGTAGATTATCATATGGCATTTTGGGTTCATCTCTTTGACTGCAGCAGTGCCTGCTTCTAGGGCAGTGGTTCCTTGGCACTGGAGCGGAGCTGCATGTGATTGTCTATCTACAGTCATAATCTTCTCTGTCCAAGTGCTGAGGAAAAACTGCCTCTGTGATAAGAGGGATTTTCTTTGCCATGACATCTTCAGTAGCTTGGGGGCAGTCTGGGTTGTGAATGGGTGTTAGACATTTTACTATTTTTTGTGAATTAATATATTGTGCTTCTTTGCATGCGGCGGACTGAGGGTTTTTCTATGATTGAGGGTGTGTTATTCCGTGTGGACTGAGGTTATCATGTGGTATTTTGGGTTTGCATCTTTGACTGGAGCAGCCTCTGCTGCTATGGCAGTGGGTCACTGCGTTTTAGGCATTGGTGCGTAGCTGCATGTGGCCGTCCACCGCGGAAAAAAAAACTGCCTTCGAGATGATTAAGACCACTTCTGGCCATGGTCTTTGGCAACCTGCTTTGCAATTTATAGTTTCCTGTCAGCGGTGCCATGCGCACGCCGATAGATGAAACAAACCAGCCAGTCTTGACGCTTGGCGTCGGTGATCAGGAATGTAAATTCTGAAGCGAGAGTTTTGGGCAGTCTGAAGACCCCGAATGGTCCTGAAGTGGTGAAAGGTCGAAGGCCCTGAAAACCACCTGTTTAGGCAGGCTGCATCCTGAAGTGGTGAGGGGTGTCCTGAAGTGGTGAAAGGTCTGAAGACCTTGAAAACCACCTGTTTAGGCAGGCTGCATCCTGAAGTGGTGAAGGGTGTCTTGAAGTGGTGATGAAAAATACGACTGTTGTTAACCTTCTCTCGTCTTGTAGTGCGTAAGATCCCTACAGGTTCTTCCTTGCAATAGTTAGTTTGGGGGTGCCAAATTGGGAGTGATATTCCTTGCCATAGGCCGTTTGGGGGCTGCAAAACCAGCAAGGTATGATTGGGAGTGATATTGAATTGCAATAGTTCGTTTGGGGCTCCGCCAAAACCAGCAGAGTGTGATTGGGAGCGATATTTTTCCTCCTTATTGTTTGCACTATGTTAAATGTTGGCGGCATATTGAATACCGAGCTTCTTACGAACTGACAGTGTGCGGTAGCGCCTCTCACTTGTGAGTCAAATCAGCGCTCGAACATGTAGAGTTGAGTGGATGCTGTCATCTGGAGACCACGTATCGGATGTTTATTTCACTCTTAAGTTAAACCACCAGCACATGGCCCCGTCCAAGTTTTGAATCATGACTCAGCGTTTTGGAAAAGAATTGGAGCCTCGGGTCAATAGGACCAAAATGGCTGAAGGGTGTTTTGAAGCGATGATGAAAAATACAACTGTTGTTAACCTTTTCTCGTCTTGTAGTGCGTAAGATCCCTACAGGTTCTTCTTTGCAGTAGTTCGTTTGGGGCTGTCAAATTGGGAGTGATATTCCTTGCCATAGTTCGTTTGGGGGCTCCAAAACCAGCAAGGTATGATTGGGAGTGATATTGATTTGCAATAGTTCGTTTGGGGCCCCGCCAAAACCAGCAGAGTGTGATTGGGAGTGATATTTTTGCTCCCTATTGTTTGCATTGTGTTAAATGTTGGCGACATATTGAATACCGAGCGTCTTACCAACTGACAGTGTGCGGTAGCGCCTCTCACTTGTGAGTCAAATGAGTGCTCGAACATGTAGAGTTGAGTGAATGCTGTCATCTTGAGACCATGTATCGGATGTTTATTAAATCCACCAGCACATGGGCCCGCCCAAGTTCTGAATCATGACACTTGCGTCTTGGAAAAGAATTGGAGCCTCGGGTCAACAGTACCGAAATGGCTGACGGCGCCAGCAAAAAGGCGAGGCCCGACGTGCACTCTTGGGAAAACAACTGGGACACGTGTGGTTGGGCTCAGCAGAAACCGCCACTTGCGGATTGCCTTCTTTTGTTTCACCGCTACTTGCACCTCGCCTTTTTTTTTCGCGCCCGTCCCCATATTGGAATACAAGTACATAGTTGCCTTCCAACGCGGTGCGCCTCCCTCCGCCATGGACCGCATGGGCCAAAGACAAATTGTGGTGGTGTATCCGTCAACACTTTGGTAGAATATTCATTCTCAGTCTCTCTCTCTGCCGCCGAGGGTATGGCCCGAAGACAAATTGTCGTGGTGCACCTTTCTGCGTTTTGGTGGAAGATTAATTTTCAGTTTGCACATTTGGTGAGTGGTAGAGCGAACTAGTTTGCCTAGTGCTTCGCTTTCTACCCCCTTGCCTGTCGAATCGGGATCAGTGCTCCACACATTCACACCTTTGTTTGGATCTCTTCTACAACATACCCACACAGAAGGTTGTCACTCATGTAGTAACTCTCTCTCTCTCTCTCTTTCTCCAGGCCTTAGCGTTTATGGTTTGGCTTTGTTTTTTTTTTTTTCTGGGCTTTTTGTGGCTTATTGTTCTGCGCCCATCATGTCCCTCAACCCTTGTGACATGGCTGCCTTAGTGGTTTCCTCTCGTCCTTACCTCTGGGCTGCTGCTTCGCCGCAGTGGTACGATTTGTGTTCTTGCAGATATGTTTGTCTGGTGAATATGACATAGCTTGGATTTGTTGCTGAACATCAGCAAAAACTACAAATCAGCGATCTTGATTGAAGACGTGCTTGCACGATGGTCTCAAGGTGGATCTTTTTTTTTCCCCCTCTGCGAAGTCAAAACCTTTGTGTGATGGAACATATTGGAAGAGTGTGCTTATGGTTTTATCATCACAAACTTTCTATATCTTGTAAATTGTAATGGTTTAGGGAATGACAATGTTTTGCTGTTCAGAAATCAGTTTTGTTTTTTGTCAGTCTGCAAGAGTGTGCAAATTCTGAATCTAGTTTCTTTGGAAAGGTAGTGGCTCACCTGCAATGAAATGCAAATTTTCAGTGGTATATGCAGTAGTAAGGAAGGTAATGAAACGACGCTTTGCAGTGAGGACTCGTGACGCTTCTAAGTGGTTGTGTCAATGTCAAGTGTTCTGCTTACATAGGGGTGTCAATGCCAAGTGTTCTGCTTACATAGCAGGCCTTGTTACCGCATGGCATTGTGCTTATGACAGTGATTTTGGCTTGTGTAATCTTTTACCCTCTGCCCACAGGAGTTCTGGATAACGGGCGACTGCAATGGGAGAGGAGTTCCTCCTTCAGATCGCAATTGGCCTCTGGACCATGAGCTCTTTATCTTGTGCGTGCGTGACACTGTGAAGATGTTGCGGAATCATCCAAGCCTAGCGTTTTGGGTTGGCGGAAACGAGCAGGTGCCGGCAGAAGACGTCAATAACAAGTTGATGAAAGAGCTGAGATTAGCAGGAGGCAGCGATGAAGGTAATTTGCGGCTGCTATGTTGGGTCACCGGAGATCTTGTTAGGGAGAGCCGTGGAATCAAAATAGGTTTGCAGCAGGGGTATTTGGTGAAGGGGTATTTGCAGGAGTATTTTCAGAAGGGGTATTTGCAGAAGGGATATTTGCACAGAAGGGCGTCGATCCAATAACTTTCTGAACGTTCTATCCAACTGAAGCTGTGGAAGGTGATATGTATGTCTTATTTGTTGCAAAAGTATAGGGGGGTGCTTGAAAACTATACTTGCACTGTCCTTGGGGACATCTGCCGAAAGATTGAAATTATACAGAAGATGATTTGCATGGCCCTTGCGCAAGGATGAAATCTGTAAATCGAGACAAGCTATACTTGCAGTACAATAGGGCTTTTTGAATTATTTCTGGATGTAAATGCAGTTAGACACATCCAAGTAGGGTCGTAATTACGGTCAGATACATTTAAGATTGTGCTAGTGTGAATGTGCTCTAAAGCGGTCAGATACGTCCAAATAGGGTAATGGACATTGTAATATGATTGTATACGTATAGTACAGTACACAGTATCCATTATCCCTCTCTCTGAGGATTTTCAAGTCCAGTGTAGGTTTCCTTTTTTGTTTTTTTTGAATTATGCTTGTTGGATGGCTTTGGGACGGCATTTTCTCACATTATTTGAGTCTCTGGCTGGCTGGCTGGGTGTGTCTTGCAGACCCCAGTTTCTTTCTTGATGGAACAAGGCCTTATTTTAGAGCCTCGCTCTGGGACGGCTTTGCTTCCGGCACAGGAGCATGGAGCGATGGCCCTTATACAATTCAGAATCCGGCCCTCTTCTTTGAAGAGACTTTTTACCCTTATGCATTCAATCCAGAAATTGGCTCTGTCGGAGTTCCCGTTGCAGCAACCATTCGTGCCACGATGCCCAAAGAATCGTGGGGCCCTCCGACCATCGAGTTCTTGCCCGACGATGCAGTCTTCAGGGAAACTCCGAACAAGTGTTGGGACTACCATTGCTACATGTCTTATGCTGATAAAAAAGCACCGTACGATCATATTGCAACGTATGGCCCACCTGAAGGACTAGATGACTTCTGCTTCAAGGTGAGTTGGTTGGTTAACATCCTATTTTTAAAGAGTCCTCAGACCTGGGAATGGTACTTGTAGCTAAAAAGCGTAGCAAATTCAGCCTCTCAATTGAATCTCTCAATTGTTACGAGTCCCCAAGGGAGCTAAGGACTTCGTTTTTGCATAAAACGTTAGGCTGCCAGAGTGGCTTGGGGTCAACTTGCCTGGCCGAGCCAATAAAAAGAAAAAGGAAAAAAAGAAAAGAAAAGAAAGAAAAAAGAAAGAAAGGTAAAGAATTTCGATGTGACCCTGAGGCAAAAGTGTTTCAGTTTATTGTTGTGCATCACATAGTTTCTTTTTCAAATTAAAGTTGTTTAGTTTAAAAAGAAAAAAAAAGAAAAAAAGAAAAAAARAAAAAAAAGAAAAAAAAAAGAAAAAAAAAGGAAGGTAAAGAATTTCGATGTGACCCTGAGGCAAAAGTGTTTCAGTTTATTGTTGTGCATCACATAGTTTCTTTTTCAAATTAAAGTTGTTTAGTTTATTTTTGTGCATCGGATACTTCTTTTTGAACTTTTTCAGATTTTTGGGAGCTTTTTTAACTTTTTCAGATTTTTGGGAGATTTTTGAACTTTTTCAGGTTTTCCCTTCTTTTGCTGGGTCCTTCCCTGGTCCTTGCACGGCCCGACTGCCCGGCTGGCTGGTAGCTCAGGAAAACGTTGAGTATGTGTGAAGGCTTGGTCACTATCACTGTATCTGGACCAAAACGTGTGCTGAATACAAGTATAATGACCGGGCGTTCTATTTGGGTGAAGACTGTGGGAATGGTCCGTCTTTCCCTTGGAAATTTGGTTTCTCCTCAGATTGTGTTGCACACTCAGATTTCAAACTTGGAACTTTCGTTTGTCAGATTGCAAAATGCACGTATCTTTGTGTTGCAGGACCAGATTGCGAAAACGTTTTTTTTTTTCTTTTGTGCCAAAAAAAAACGTGTTTTCTTAGTTGCGAATATGCGCATCTTTGTGGTGCAGGCTCAGATTGCCAACTATGTGCAATATCGTGCTCTGATAGAAGGGTGGAATTCGCTTATGTGGAGAAAGTACTCTGGAGTCCTGATTTGGAAAACGCAAAACCCTTGGCCGGGTTTGAGAGGTCAACTGTACGATTTTCTCGGGGACCAAACAGGGGGATTTTTTGGAGTCAGGTGCGCTGCAGAGCCTGTGCATGTCCAGTATAATTCGGCGACAAGAGCTGTGGAGGTGAGTCCTCTCTTTTTGTTCATGCTTCTTATCACTGTCAGATTTTGCCCGAGCAATCTCAACAATGAGAACGTCACTACCATCTGGCCTAGCTATGTTGGTACAAACACCCGTGAACTGTTGAAATACGGACCCGAGTTCGAAATACGGCCCTCCTGGACTGAACTGTTGAAATACAGACCAGGTACTGAGTTCGAACTCTGCTGGAAGCAGATGAGTGAAATAATAGTATGATTCTGAAGATTAGTGTGCTCGATGTACTAAGGTCTGCACATTAGTGTGTTCTCATTGGCTGCCCCAATTCCTGATCTCACCTTCCTCCAATAACAGTCTTTGCATATCTGCGCGTGGATCTTTGAAAGGGATGCTGGAAAAGAAAGAGAGATTCAATTCCCAAAAATGTGTGTGCACTCTTCTGTGCGATGCAGGTTGTGAATACAACGGCGGGGGTGCTAAGTGCGATGGACCTGGTCGCAGTTGTCTATAGCCCCGAGGGGAGTGTTACTCATCGCAGGATTTGCCAGAGCTTCTGGATCAAGCCAGCAACGCTAGCGGTGATTTTCAAGGTAAATGAAGCCGGTCCCAGTTTTTCGCTCCACCTGCATTGAGATCCATTCTGCTGAAGGGGATAATACTCGCACTGCTGAAAGGTTTTTTTGCCCCACCTGCATTGAGACCCGGCCTGCTGAAGGGATACTCGCCCTGCTGGTAGGGGATTGGTACCTGGCGGCCTGGGATTTCACCCTAGACCGTAGGCCCGTTCTTCTTTTCTCTTCTGTCTTCCCATCTCCTCAGGGACTATACCCAAGGGCCTCGCTCCACTACACACCACATGAACAGAAGACAAAAAAAATATGACGGTGTATCGTTCGTTGTTCTTGTGGAAGATTCATTCTGATTTTGCAGATCTGATGAGTATCAGTGAAGCTGTAGATCACTCTATTCCTCTGCAAGTTGTGCTCTGTCCTTCTGAATGCGAGCAGCCTGGCAGCTTTATTGCAGAGTGTTGCAGAGTGGAGCGGGAGAGCTTACATGCGTGCCTGTAAACCACACCAATGGGTTAACTGCACGGAATCCACTTTAGGAACCCTACCGTGTTCACCCGTATACAACATAGGGTTATTATAGCTGTATCTGGGGCAACATTGAGTCTAGATACCGCAATAATGACCGTACGTTGTATTCGGGTGAAGACAGTAGTCGGGTGCAGGTAACCCGTTGCTGGACTTTGCTGCTCTGGACCCAGCCGAGGACAGCACAATATCAATAGACTTGCTGAGCATCATCAGTCCAGAGTGCTACCTTCTTCCCCCGAATACAACCTAGGGTGTAGGGTTATAGGGTTTGTAGGGTTATAGGGTTTGTAGGGTTATAGGGTTTGTTCCTTTGTATTTGTGAAAGAATCTCCCGTCTTGCCTTTTGTTGTTTTGTTTTTCCTTACTTGTTCTCTGACATTTTACTCCTTTTTGGCTTCTTGTCTCATTTCTTAAAAGATTCCTAAAGAGGAAGACATGAATGCGGGTGAAACCTGGTTTCTTCAGCTAATCCTGAGCGACAAGTCCGGTCGTTCAATCTCGCGGAACTTCTACTGGCAACACCGCACGGGACTGGATTTCACCGCACTGAGTTCACCTTGGCGGGACAAGGTAGTCCCACTTGGGGTGACGATTACGTGCAAGAATGTCGTCGGCGAGCGCACCAAGCTCGCTTTGTGTCTGTGGAACAAGACGGGGACAGCGCGTGGGCAATCGGAGTCGCCTGCACCCAAGACCGCATGCTCTGTTTGTGAAGCGAAGAAAAACGATCGCCCAACGGGAATGCAGATGAGGTTTCAGCGCGGACTGGTGAAAATTTTTGGTAGGAAGGTGGTAAAAGCCGCCACCGAAGAGAGCAGTAATTGCTTAGAAACCAGCCAAATCGTCACCGGTACTGATTGTCAAGTACTGAAAGGAGTGAGGAGTTGGGTCAGAAAGCTGGTCGTAAAGGACGCTTCCGTTGCGAAGGATGGGTTGCAGACAGTGGCTGGAAGTGCTGCCGGGGAAGCAGGCAGAGCAAGCGAGCCACGGGAGACTGCTTCGAACTACTCAAGTATCGCTGCGTCCTGCATATGTGATGACAGCAGCGCATGTCAAGCAGCAGCAATAACTGCAGGCCCCACCGCTGGCTTCAGAGACGATGGCAGACAAGAAGGCACTGAAGTAGGAGGAGGGGAAGGACCAGAAGTAGGAGGTGGAGGGGATGAGAAAGAGTCCGAAGGGGGCATCGCTTTATGGATTCATCTGCAGGTGTGCTCTGCAGATAGGAATATTCCAGTTGAAACTGTACAGGAGGGCGAGTCACATGCATCTGTTCAGCGGTCGGGGGATTTGGGTTCGGACCATGGTTATGTCGACAATAGAGTTCTACCAGTGCGGTACTCGGACAACTGGATTTGCTTGGTGCCGGCTGAACACCGAACGGTCTTGATAGAGTTCAAGTCCCAAATTGGCAGAGCGGTGAAGATTTGTATGGACGGATGGAACATTGAGAGAAAGGAGCTTCTTGTTTAGTCATTCGGCCAGGCTGTCTTTTTTCTCCAGCCGCACGGCGTGGATGGAGTGGCGAAAGGTCAAGACGTGGGGAAAAGGTCTGCACTCCTTACCTAGTGCATGTAATGATGTGAATGTAAATTTCAAATTTTATTGTATATAATGGATGAATGTATCTATGTTCACGAGTTCGAACATTGTTCTGCGAACGTGTTCCTGGGCTAGATTTCTTCCAAACGGAATTTTTATTTATTTATAAATGCATGGGTGAAATCTGATAAACGTTGTGCAAATCAATTTGACAGTGATGCTTCTTTAAACCACTAGTACCTCCGAGCCTGTTTTTGCCAACCCTGAATTTCACTGCGCACCGAAAGTTGCCGAGCCTGGGTCCCATTGTGTTTTCTTTTATGCTTCTCTTCGGAAATGGGGGAAAAAAAAGAAGAACAAA